GTGCGTGCGTGCGTGCGTGCGTGTGTGTGTGTGTGTGTGTGTGTGTGCGCGCGCGCGTGTTTATGCATGCAAATAATAAGTAGATAAACGGCCATAACATATTAACATATTAGCAATAATTTTATGCTGGATACTGTAGCACTAAAACCACTAGCCCTACGACGCAAGTTCTTGAGATCTAAATAAATTCACATAGTGAAAAGAGCTAAACCTACATTGAATGAGCAGTTGAGACTTCATTCAAAAATAGCTTCCCTGGAACGATTATTATCAACTTATTTTGAATGAAGTTTTTTGTAACACCGAGCTGATAATAAATGTGTGCTTTATGGTGGTATATCAAGTCAATTTCATTTTTATTAAACATCCAATTACCAATATCCTATTGCCGCACTCATTTTGAGCAATATTTTTTTTTTTTTAATAAGTTTATTCACCTACTTCTTATTACTTAGTTAAGCCTACTTATTCATCATCCAGCGCCTACAAGCAAACCGTAGGGCTACCGCAGTCGTCAAATGGGGAATCAATTATTTATTGTTTTTTTTAGCTAGGTAACTAAAATACGATTACACATTTATTGCTACATAAATGTAAAATATATCAACATAAATGATTGCAAAAATTACAGAAAATGGAATCGATGTGTCTCTAATACATGTCTTCCATAATAAGTAAAAAGCGAGAGAAGAAGCTTTGTGAAAGTTGTTTTCCCGAAACTTTTTTTTTCGCTTCTTTTTGTTAATTGTACTTTTTTTTCTATAGTAATAATAATAAAATAGAGTTAGAAATAGAGTCTAAAATAGATATAAAAATAATAATAACAATCAACAACAACAAGGGCGTAACTGCAAGTTTTAACGAAAATGAATTTTAAGCGCACTACTTAAAACATGCAATTCTGATTCCAAATAATTTTGTTCTAATTTGGAAAGTTGCACCCATTCTTACTAAAGGGGACGACTTGCCTAATTTAAATACCTAAAGGATTAACAAACAGTCTAAATATCCCATAGGCGCAAAGCTGAAAGTAGAGACATAAATAGCACTTTTAGATTTCTACCGGACTTGACCAGTGCATGATTGATGAAAGGACAGGACAAAGCTCTAACACGGCTGAGAATTTAATGAACGACCAATGTATTTGTTTTATTATTAGACTTACCTGAATTGAACCCAAATCGTTGTCAAATGAAACCTGTTTCAAAGGAATAAATTGGGGTTCCAATGAAATGGGTTTGTCGTCTTTCGGAATTCGTTATTCCTATTGAATAATCGTTTACTCCGATTATCATATCTGTATGGGAAAAAATGTGTTTTAAACATTTTTTCTTTTAATTAACAGTCTAGCAACTCCGGGTCGGAGAAATCGAGTTCAAATACAAGCGGCAGCGGGACCGGTGATAACAGCCCACTAAGCACTCCCCCCGCGCTGCACACCCCTCCCACGCGCCCCAAAGCCAGGACCAGCAGTAGCAAGATCAAAACCAACAGTATACACGTAAGTTGTAATGCGTAGACTGTCGCGATAGCGAATAGAGAAGAGAAACAAGGAGAAAAACGAAAATAGAAAAGAGGAATGCGACGGAAGCGTTCCGGGCGCGAAAATTTTTGTAATGTTCGAGTTCATATGAACCCTGCCACACTGAAACGCGAGACGGCAGCACAGACATATATCTATCTATCAGATAGACGCCGCAAGTACAGCCATTTGTATGAAAACCAAGCGTGACACATTTTTTGTACCCACGTCACATGAGCTATTTAATGTTGGAAATCTCCTTCCGCTAGCTCTAAATCGATTGATTGAACGGAATACGCGTAAACACGCGTATTCATTCAATTAATCGATTCTAAATAGAATAATTTTTGTTCAAGTACTAGTTGATTACAAGTACTTGGTCGTAATATTAAAATAGTAGAAAAATACTAGAATAAGATAGTTTAATCCTTTATTTTACTTGTTTCTAAAAAATTTTGATTACTTGAAAAAATAATTTTTAATCGACTTCAAATATTAAAATTATTGTCCTTCCAGTAAAATGAGCTTATTATATAACATCTTTTTGTAATAGAAGATCTTATCGATTAACTTAAATAATGAAAACGCACGTCAAGATATATAACTTGCGACTGCCTTAATTAATTTTACTAGATGGTTTTCTGTTGGTAATTGATCAAATTGATGAATGGCGAGACAAATGAAAATGTTACTGCTGACAAAATATGGGAAACTCTTATTAATCAGAAGAGGTTTACTTAATGACAGCCTCGTGTGAAATTTTTGTGATTTGTTTATTATTTCTCGAATTTCTAACTCTGCTACTCTGCATATTTGGATAGCATCTTAGATGAGATAAACTAGACCACCTTCGCCCTCGAAAGCAACGAACTCATACGTATGACCAACACCAGGTTTTTGTAAAGACAGCGCACTGTTAATTCTTTGCTTTATATATTTTTTTTGTATTACTCGCACTACATATCCGGCGATGTATATAATTATTTGCTCACTATATTCGGACATTCGAGGCAACGTGCTGCAAAAATTATCGAAATTACAGATACTACTGATAATAGATACTACAAAAGTGAAAAAAAAAACAACCGAAACGTGACTAAACGACATAACAAAAGAGTTATAGAATATTTTTATAATATTGCTAAGGTCATAATAATTTTCGTCCCTTTGTTTTCAAAATCGATCAGAATCAAGAACAGTGTTGCCTATTGGTAGGTCAATGCCTAACGTACTATACATCACTAAATGTTAAATTTGACCAAAACAATGTACAACCGGCCGTACCACGAAACTAAATGCATTATACAAAAGTGCGTTCGTTCAATATTCGCGGCGTATTAACAAAGGATCATAAATATATCGCATCAAGTAAAAGCCGCAATGTATTACAAATCATGAGGCATACACTCGGTTGCGTATTTATTTTCTCGAAACTCATACAAAACCAAAATAATTGTTTTTAAAATAAATTATGCATCTTCTGATCAAATCATCGAATCGTCTTCTTTCTACAAAATCAACTGCCCGTGGAAGGAAACGTCCCTGTTTACCCGTTTGCCCACAGTTATGGTGCTTTTGCAGTTTATAATGGCACAATTATGCATTTTTTCGCGTTTTCGACTGGTTTTTATCTATGATAACGGTCGAACGCGTTCTGAAGTGTAGCAGCGGCAAGTAAGTGAATTTCACTTACTTTGGGCACGCGAAGTACGTACACTTGTGGCGTCTATGTAGATATAAGTGGGCCAGAGTATTAAGTCGCGTTCAAATAAGCCGCTGCTAGCTGCCCTGCAGCAGCGCTGCAGCCGCGCGACGGCCGCGCGATTTTCACTTTTCATACAACTACTAGAAGCGCTGCAACCGCGCCGCCGCGCGGTTTTTTTGCATTTGTATTACATTTTTTTCAAAAATCGTGTCCGCCATCTTGTATTTACAAATAAGTGCTGTATTCGTAATGAGCACCCCCAAATACTTCGAAAACGATACGCAACTGGCCACTATTCGAAAAATCGTGGCCGCCATCTTGGATTTACGAATAAGTGCTATATTCGTAATGAGAACCCCCAAATACCTCGAAAAGAATACCCATATTGCATTTTTGAAAAATTGTGTCCGCTATCTTGGATTTACAAATAAGTGATATATTCGTAATGAACACCCCCAAATATATCGAAAACGATATTCAACTCACCATTATTTGAGAAATCGTGCCCGCCATCTTGCATTTAGAAAAGTCGTGTTAGCCATCATGTACTCAGATATAAATGCCATTCCCATAAGGATCACCAAAAATAAATTTTTGAAAATTCTTGGCAAAAATCTTGGATTTAGAAATTAATGTCACATTCTCAATAAACACACCGAAACAACTCGAAAACGTCTACAATTCTCGTTGTCGATCGACAATGTCGATTATACGTTGTCGATTATATTAATACGTTTTAATTTTTTTTTAATCGGTTTTAACAAAATAAGTGAAAGTAACGTTTCTTCGTCAGAATCCATCGTGTAACTGAGTCGAAAGATAAAACATCACTAAAAATTTGGTCGCACTTCAGCAGCGCGAAAGACACGCGGCCGCCGCGCGGTTGCAGCGCGACCGCCGCACGGCTGCAGCGCGGCTAACAGCGGCTAATTTGAACGCGCCTTTAGGGTAGTCATTTGAGTGCAGTACGTAACTCATCTACTCTACTTATTGTGTAGCAACTTTCCCACAAGCAACAGCAGGTGCTATAGCATGTGATGTACATCTCTACTCCCATTAATACAAATGAAAATTTGTTCATCCGTCTGACACAATATGAACATTATTTCAACTAAGATTACAAAGGTATAAACTTTTTCAACGCTGCTTTATTTCTATTAATGCAATGCAGTTGCCGTGTTCATTGTTTCACAATTCATTGCTTTTACGAGGTTCTTCCATACGTTAGTATTTCGCAGTACAATGCTGGCCAATCACATTTAAACAACAATGTTCTTCGGACAATTGCTACGCCACGTAGCCAAAGAAACTCCTACGCTACGTAGCAGTTACGAGAGCGTAGCGTTTATATGTAGATTTACTTAGTATTACGAAACCCAAGTTGATCTACATTGTTCAGCAAATACTACATTGTTAAGATATAACATTGTGTTATGTCTAAGTAAAGATAAAGTTTGATAGTCAGCTGAGAATGAGAATTGGAAAAGTTCTCATATATTGCTATTGTTAAGTACCCTTTTTATTACATATTTGGATCTAATGACTAATCTAATACGTCATATACAGTGTTTTTATTTGTAAAGTTAAAGTATTTTATAGATAGATAATAAGCAAAAATCCGCCCCACACATTAAACGTAAAGTATCAAATGTTAGTAATATGATTAAAACTACAACACAAACAAACAAAATTCTTAATGTACAGTCGTCATCAACCCATTTATACATTCCACTGTTGGGCACAGGTCTCCTCTCAAGCGAGGGTTTAGTTTAAACCATAGTCCGCCACACTGACCCAATGCGAATTGGGATTTCACACATTTTCCGAGGGTTGTGAACCTTCTTCATAGTGCAGGTTTCATCACGATGTTTTCCTTCGCCGAAAAGCTCATAGTAAATTTCTAATTAAATTTCGCTCATAAATTCCGAAAAATTCGAAGGTGTGAGCCCAGATTTGTACCCATGGCCTTTACTTGAGAGGCGGTAGGTCAAACTATTGAGCTACCTTGGCTTCCTAAGGCTTAATTTTCCACTTCCGAATAATAGTATATAAAAGTACGTTTACGTTTATCATGAACTTTCAGAAGTTAGTTATAGTAACCAGAGGCAGTGCAGAGTCGTCCATATTTTTACTCACGAAAAATAATAATAATAATAACGCTCACACTCAACATAGCTAGGGAAACCCTGGGTCGCGGGTGCCATGGATACACACAAAGACATCCAGAAATTACACCCAAACTCACGAAAGAAATAAATGTAGGCAATACAACTATTTCTCCCGGCCCGGGAATCGAACCTGGGACCTGTGCGTGGCAGTCCGTCATGGTAACCGTTCGGCCACGGAGGCAGTTAACAAACGAAAAATCCTGATAAACATACTTTACACTTTTATCGAACGCTAGAACTCATAAAGTAATAAACTCTACTCTACATAGTCTATGGAACAAGCCAATTATATTAACTTATTCAATATTTTTTTTAGAAAAAATACTAGCCACTGAAATTTATAAATGTAAATGAAAACGGTATTAAATTGGTTCGAAATTAAAAATAAATAAAACAAAACTAAAAGCATTTTGAAATTAACAGGAAAACGTGGGGAAAAACCTTCTATCGCCGCCTTTGGGCGCATTTATTCGACACGAATTTCATTGCGCTCACGCCGAGCGGATCTAACTGTCATGGCAAAGTACGCTCTATTTGTTTAGCTTTTACGTTTTAACTTAAATGAGCGCCCCGAGCGCGGGCGAGTCTGGCTTGTCATTAGCCTACGCGACGACCACGCGGTTGTATTACTCAAATTTAAAATTTAAATGTTGTTGCCTCAGAGTGTAAACCTCGCTTACACATTCTCACATAGTTCGTTTTTACTGATTTTTGTTGATGAAAAACTTATAAACTTCTCGCTCAAATATATTATTACAGTAATATAGTATCTAAAAGAGGTATAATTTAAGTAATTAAAATGCAACAAACATTATTGCGTTTACTACATTTTACACCACATTTTTATCTTGGACCTGAAAAATTACATAGAAATCACATATGAAGTATTATTCACTTTAAAGACGATCATATGGGTGTAGCGCACAGGTTTTTCTATAGTAAACAATTGCGAGTTTATGATCACTACACGTTTGTTTTTCTTTTGTTAAACAATTTTTCGTTGCTTTTATTAGTTTTTGTGATTTTAAGCGTCATATCACATCATGATTTGAGGCTTAAAATCACAAAAACAACGCGGGAAGAGATATAGCTGTGGGTGTGTTGGA